AGAGAGAGAGAGAGAGAGAGAGAGAGAGAGAGAGAGAGAGAGAGAGAAAGAGAGAGAGAAAGAGAGAGAGAAAGAGAGATCGATTCAATGTATGAATGCCTTAAATAATTCAAAAAGACCACTCGGAACAAAGTTCCTCTTGTGTTGGCCGTGTGCTGCCTGCCAGCCAGCCTGACAAGAGACGGTGAGTTCGGTGGCACCGGCAACGGAAATGTGGAAATCAACTCGAGTGCGCACCATTTCAAACAAATAGAATAGAAAGTAATAAATAAATCCAATGCATATTGCTCCAAAAAGCCCGTGTGTCCCGATTCACTCTGTGTATATGCTTTTGCACATTGCAAACGGACACACGTACTTCTTCAATCATTCATTCAGTCGTTTTTTTGTATTTTATTTGTATTGTGTGCGCATTTTAATTAGTTTATGCATAGAATGTTTTTATTGTTTGGTAATCGTCATTTCCAGGCATTTCACTCTTATGGTACAACTCTTTATGCATGTGGCTCTCTTCATTCGTACGCCCCTGTCTCTAACGGAAATCAACACACACACATACACACAATGAATATCAAACAATAGTAGACGAAATGGCTTAAATGTTTCCTTTTGTTTCTTTGTATTTCTCTTTTGTGACAACCAGGATTTGCCGAAGCTCCCAGTTCCAGAGCTTGAAGAAACAATGACCGAGTATCTGCGCGCACTGGAGCCGACATTAACACAACAGCAACATGATCGAGTCACGACCATTGTTAAGCAATTTGTATCACCATCCGGACTGGGACCGAAATTGCATCAGTATTTGGTTGAAAAACGTGACGCTGAAGATAATTGGGTAATACAATTTTTCCTTTCTCGTTTCTTCTCTTGCCGTTGAATTTTCCTATCACAGCGTTGGGTTTTCATTTCTCTTTCTCATCAATCTCTTCGCTTGCGTTGGGCAAATTAAATTTTTTGCGCATTCTGATGGGCACTTCTGTTTGGCGTGAAAACGATTTGCAAAACGAATATCACTATGTACACAGTTTACGCTAGTTTTTTTTCTTCATTTCTTCGTTTTGCATGATGAAATTTCATCATTGCGAGCGGAGAGAGGAGAACATTTTGCTCGTGCTCATCGCGCGCATATTTCACATTATTTACATTTTGCACACCAAATCCGATTACGTTTAAATCCCTCAATTTTCTTAAATAAACATCGGGCAACGGCATAGGTACACATTTTAATCTATATTTGTTACACTGTGTATTTATAATATCAATCACAGTTCAAGTGTCGTATGAATACATCGTCTTGAATGTTAGCCGAGTACCGGCACCCTCTGCAAAGCAGCACCAAGGTGTAGCGCACAACTGAGCGTCGCATACACAACACACCGGTACGCCAGCGTTTCTCACTCACTCGCTTGTCTTCTTTATGACAATCCCAAACATGTCAAATGCACGTTTTCAATTATTATTTTTACAGTTTGTTCGATAAATGAACGTTCATGCAGCTGACAACACAGTGAATGCTATGCATGCCGTGCAACCTTTGATGTTTTTTTCTCTCTTCTTATTCTCTGTTTGTCTCTAATTTCGCTCTACGCACTTGCTTTCAATCCAACGAACTGATTGTTTTTCTTCATTAAAAACAAAAAATTCGCTTCAGTTTTCGATCGAAATTGATTTTGGAATTTTTTCATTTGGCTCCAATTTTTCGTAGTTATCAACAGCAACAGATGGTTTGAATAATAAAATATTACTTTTGATGTAGGCTTACAATTATTGGCTAAACGATATGTACATGGATATACGTATTCCCACTCCGATCAACTCAAATCCTGGCATGGTTTTACCACCTCGCACATTCCATACCGTAAACGATGTGGCCAAATTTGCGGCCCAAGTCATCAATGGAATCATGGAGCACAAGGAAATCATTGACAGGTATCGCAAAAGCACACGTTCTTCATTCATTCAATTTTGTTCAAAACTCAATTTTATCATCAATTTCTCCATTTTCACCCGGAATTTATCCGTAGCGGTCAGCTGCCAAAGGAGCGTGCGGCAAATCGTGAAAAGAATCAGCCACTGTGCATGGCTCAATATTATCGACTGTTGGGCTCGTGCCGTCGACCAGGTGATCCTCGTGATAGCCAATACTTGCCCGAACCACGCGATGATCAGCATGTAATTGTTGCATGTAGAAATCAGGTAAAAGAATTGCGCAACTTATTGAAAAATGATTCATCGAACAATAATAATCAAATTTGAACGAAAGAGAAACTAAACCGAAACTTGTTTACAGATGTACTGTGTACCTGTGAAGGCTGGCGACCGTGGTCGTTTAAGTGAAAAGGAGATCGAATCCCAATTGTTGTTCATTTTGAGCGATGCACCGTGTGTAAGTGTGAAACCTCCACCGGTTGGATTACTTACTTCCGATGCGCGAAGCACTTGGGCTCGCGATCGTCAGGTGTTGCTGCAGAACGAACAGAATCAACGAAACATTGAGTTGATTGAACAGGCATTGGTTTTAGTTTGTTTGGATGAACCAACCCCGACATCGTTCAATGGACAGGCATTCGTTGGTGCAACCGAAAGTGTTCATCGTGCCGGGCTTAGAGTGAGTTGACTTAAAATTCAAAATTTCCCGGCAACCAAAGAAAAATCGTCCACGTTTGGTCTATTTTCAGGATGAAACAAATATGGCACACGAAATGATACACGGTGGTGGAAGCGATTATAACACAGGAAATCGTTGGTTTGATAAAACGATGCAGGTACCGATAAAAAAGAAACAGAAACTCAAACATAGCCGTTGTGAATTTTAAACTAACTATCATTCCATATTCCACTCAGATTATCATCTGTAATGATGGAACATGGGGCTTATGCTATGAGCATTCAACATCGGAAGGAATAGCGGTGGTTTTGTTGCTCGAAAAAATAATGAACCAAATTGACAATGCCAGCGGTATTGAAGACAATGCATCACAGCAGCATTTACCGCCGCCCGAGCGTTTGGAATGGGAAATTCTGCCCGAAATATCGCATAGAATGTTCCTTGCAGCAAAAAGCGTCGACAAGCGCATTGCTGATCTTGACTTTTTCGTTTATCGCTATCGCGGCTACGGAAAAACCTTCATCAAAAGCTGCAAAGTTAGCCCCGATGTGTACACTCAGCTTGCCTTACAGCTGGCCTACTACAAGTGAGACCATCTCTCTTTTCACATTCACAAATCCATCCCGGCACACACACACACACACTCATCTAATTTCGAAAATCTAATCTAATTTTTTGTTCTTTATCTCCGTTAGGCTTTACGGTCATTTGGTTTCTACCTACGAAAGTGCTTCAACTCGACGATTCCTTTTGGTTTGTATACAGATTTGCTTTTTTCGATGGCTCTCTTCATTTTCACAAATTCAATTTTAAGTGAAATTATTGTGCAAAATAAAAAAATAAACGATTCTCTTTGAATACTGACGTATAGGGTCGAGTTGATTGCATTCGTTCAGCCAGTACCGAAGCGTTGGAATGGGCAGAGGCGATGTGTCAAGGTGAAGGTGCAAATCTATCATTAGAGAACGATAAAGAAGACGATGTTGCCGATGGAGCCAACAGAAAGGTTAAATTTAAAATCTACAGCGTAAAATCTCATATTTTCATTTTTTTCTCATGAAATATTTTCCAAATTTTGTTTCCACTGCAATTAATCGAAACCATTGATTTGATGGGGCTTTTTTCTCCTTTTTTTTCTCTTCTCTATTCCTCTTGCTATTTGGTGGATTTTTATTGATCAAATATTTGTTATTCGTGCCCATATGAAGAAGGAGCATTTGTTGGAATTATTCCGTATGGCTGTGTCAAGACAAACCGATATTATGGTGATGAATATCTTGGGCCACGGTGTCGATATCCCATTATTAGGCCTACGCGAAGCGTGTAAGGAGCTCAGTGATGGCGAACTTGATGAACTATTTACCGATGAAAGCTATCCGATTTCACAATGTTTCCTATTGTCTACGAGTCAAGTACGCGTTCATCTTCTTGAGCTACTCAAAAGAAAACGTAACACGTTGACGAATTTTCCTAATAAAATTCTGCTGTTTCAGGTTGCTTGCACATCAGATAGCTTCATGGGCTATGGGCCGGTGACACCAAAGGGTTATGGCTGTTCATATAATCCGCGACCGGACGAAATCGTCTTTTGTGTATCGGCATTCTATTCGGCTGGCAGCACCAGCGCCTCACGTTATGCCAAATCATTGAAAGAGTCATTGGACAGCATGAGAGATTTGTTAGAATCATAGATTTCTGAATAATAATTCCTACACTTCTCCCGCACCCCAAACCACACACACACCAGAAACACACAATATTATTACCATGACACAAGCGGACTTTTGATTGGTATCTATATATATATCTTATTTGATTGGAAACTGGAATAGTATATGATATTAGCACGATCACGCTTAGAATTATATGTGATTTTTAAATGTACAACTCAAACTCTATACATGATAACAAACATTATTCAATTTCTATTTTGTTCAAAATGAATTCGGTTTGTTTCTTCCTGTAATGTTATGTTTGAGTTGATGCTTAATTTAAAATGATATTAACTGTAACACTTTAACGAAACCGTGTGGCAAAAACGATGAGATACTCATCCATGCACTAATTACCTGGTTGAAACAATGAACATATCTATATAAATATATCACACTATTTTGTGTTCAATTAGAAATGACAGATCTCTATATAAAAGTATATTTTATTTCTACTCAATTGGTACAGAGATATTATTTTATTGTTGTGGAAAAAAGATTCTCTATTTGTTCAAAAAGAAATATGAAAAAAAAACTATTTTTTGTTTGTTATTGTTAAAATATATATGTTAGTCGAAAGAATACTCTTAGATCAACGTCTAAGTACATGCACAAAATGCAACCTAAATGAAATTTTATTTTCACTTTAAACAGAAATCTATTTATTGAGAACGAAAACCAAGCAACATATCACATGAATCTATATATTTTGAACAGAATGGTAATGTTTATTTATTTTTATGATGAGAAAAAAATGCATATATATATATATATATATATTTAGAACAGAAGATGCAATGAATAGAAATTATCAGCAGCTCACACAGTTTGTGATGCAATGGCATTAATCGTTTATTCAACGAAAAACAAATTAGAAATATAAGGATATCGATAGTGAGAAAAGAAGAAAAATCTAAGATAGAAACATATCAAAAACACATATCATTTGAATGCTGCACGCATGGGATGGCCCAATGATACAAGGCGCTTGAAAAGGTTTGCTGTTTTTCCAATGCGAACATTCACCATTTCAAAGATCGCTTGGGAAATTCGATGAGATATTGACATTATTTTGCAAATCAATTCATCGATTTCTTCAAGAAGAATGCAAATCGTTGAATTTCGATTGAAGAGAAAATATTCAAGACTTTCAACTGTTGAAATATCTCATTCCAAGGCGGTGTATGCTTATTTATAGAGCTAATATACATAATAAATGTTAATTTACGTGTCGTATGGTCTAAAAAAGGCCAGAAAAAAAAAATTCATTTAAAACTAATCGAAGTGAATAATTACGAGTTGAAAGTGGATTTTCTTTCTACGTTCATCTAAAGGTGTTACATCTATGTGTAGCCCATAGCTGCACAAGTATTAGCTTAAAAATGATGACGCAAGAATTGTATTTTCTTGAAATGGTGCAAATTTCATTCTTAGCAACCGAATCAATACTTTGGGACATTTTACATTCAGTCTGCCTTTTCGATTGTATTTATTCACTGTACAAAAAATAAGAGAGAAGAAGAAATACCGAGACAAACATGAAACATATCAATATTTTCAAAAGACATATCAAAGAATTTTTGTTCAAATTAGTAGAGTTTAGATGCATTTTAGCTTAATGTTTAATTTGAAGTAGGAAATTTGTTGCGTGTTTTAGCAATAGCAGATTTTTGTTGGCATTGAAAGTAGAAGAAAATGGATAGGGACACTTTTGGATCTTTTAAAGTTTAGCTGGCTTTAGTTTGGCGTTGATTATTTTCGATTGGAATCGGAATTTATTGATTCCAAATGTCATTTTGCCATGGAGAGGATTGAAGTGAGGTGCAAGTCGTTCCTAGAAAAATGCTATGTTGATAGTAAGAGTAAAAAAATAAACGCCCGCACAGTAACTCTTGTCCAAACAAACACAATGTTTATAAACGATTTATTAAACAAGTAGCAGTAAAAACAAATGTTCATATACCAATTGATTCAATAGAAAATGAAATTTTCGTTCGGATGTATTCAGAGTGAAGCAAAGCAGTAGTTTCTCGATGCTGAAACACAGCACCATTTGTCAAAAGTCGAGACAATGTTGATGCCGGTGAACGTCCAAAATTCCTTCGTTGATCTAGTAACTCGGCCAATAATCTCAAATTGGTTATCATGGGCCTTTCTAAAAGGGGCTTGCATTACTAACAAAGCTTTATACAACAGGTTAAACGTGTTAATAACGGCCTTTTTTTTCTTCGGTTCATTTAACAATTATATATTTAGAACCAAAAGACAAATACATAGTTCAAATACCAAGGAGAAAACATTGGCATTACAATTGAATTCAGGTGCAATCATATTTAAAAAAATAATAAGACATTTCCAAAAAGAAACAAAAAAGAATAAGAAAATTTAATTGTCAAAGATTTATTTGTTGAAGAATACTTGATTGTATATTCTTTCTATAGAAATGATACAATTCACTCAGTTTTGTAGAGATTTAAGGTGGTCGTTACAGGCCAAATTACATGGACATATGGTAATAATAGCATAGAAATAGGAGTTGAATAAATTAAAAATATCAATAGCCACCCACTGTACTATAAAAAATGAAGAAAAAAAAACAATATGAAATCATCACTCGTCGTACCTAATGCATATGTAGTATGAAAAGAGCAATAATAATGAAACAGCAAAAGAGAATGAAAAAAAACACTCAGAAATCGTAATACAACGTGGAATGATAATAAAATGTTTTAGCATAACAAAAAATTTGCAGTGTCATATTCCAATGGCATCTTCCGTGTGCGGTGCTCTATTCAAAAGAAAAAATTCTAGTCGATACTCAAATTTTCTCATTATCAAATGTTCTTATCGAATGTATAGCATTTTCATTTTTGAAGAGAAAAAAACAAATCTACACAATCTTTATCACGAAATCTCAAAATCAATAAATATGATGAAACTGTGATAATTTCTCAATGTCGATTCGATATTGTCGAATTAAATTCAATTAACAAGAAATTATTTCCCACTATTTCTCTCTTAAAATTCCAAACAATAACTCAATTAATGCAAAACATTCTCTTTCCATTTATTTGATTCCTATCCACACCAGCAAGAACCAAACCCAATTTCTCTAAATTTAAAAATGACCCTTTACTTTAGAGCAGCATGCTAACAATACCGGCACAATAACCAAAATAATAATTCAACTCACAAGTGAATCAATATATTAGCCATTGAAAACAATACATATCATTAAAAAAGTGAGAAACTATACAATTATTAGCGAGTAACATTTAGCCAATACAAAATTGAAATGAATAAATAATATATACACTGAATATACACTGAAATGAATAAATAATATATTTGAAAAAATAAAAGAGTTAGCGAAATATGGTAGATTGTATTAGAGAAATCATTGTTATGCAATTTGATGGACAAGCAAAAAAAAGAGAAGAAATACACTATTTTAAACTGTTGTAAAAACCCTTTAGAAGAAATGATGGAAAAAAATATATTATATATTAAACTATTGTAAATCCAGTGATTGTCGAAATCATGGATGGAAAACAAGCCCTATTGAAGTACGTGTGTTATTAGATTGGAGAAACCCCAATGAGAAATATACAATATACCACAATGTCAAATTTTCCGAATTTTATTTCATTCATTTGTCTTGCAATCTATAGTAGATGCATCGATGTGCACGATTTGCTGATACCAAGTGGAGGCGCCACACTTTTCTTTCTGTGCCACGAACTTTAAGCTCTGCCACCATTTCTGTCGCATGAACTTTTATATTGATAAAATGACAACAAACTGGAGGTAAGATTGTATTTTTTTTTGTGCTTGGTAAGCAATTTTCCATTTATTTCGTCTTAGGTTAAATCATATAATGACAATATATCAAAATATATACTTTTTGTTCACTCGTTATCAATAAAAAAATAAAATCTTTTTCTTTGTTCAGTTTCGCTAAAGCGAATTTTGAATTCACCATTATACTTCAAATTCACATACGTTTTGGTTCACACTTCTTCTTTTTTTGTAATACTTTGTAAATGAATGTGCCGATAAGTAAATGATTTTGTTTGGGGGGAAGAAATCACTAGGCTAGTACTAGTTGATAGAACAAAAATCTCGAACCACAATATAAAAATAGAAATATTTTCAACTGAAATACTGCACAATGCACATGGAGTAATAGCAGTTAAATTGAAACGTGTATACAAATTTGTTCGTTTTTCTTTCTCACAATGCAATAAATAGCACAAGTTTGGCTTGTTTGTTGTTGTTGTATGTCAGTAAATATGTAATTTACTGTTTGGAGATGCTAATTTTGGGACTATTTTCATTTTCGGTGGTGGCATCGTCTTGAAAATCGACTTTGCAGAAATGGTGTTGCAGTAGCTGGGTGGCAAGCCATCTATCTTTTGGATCGTGCTCCAAACAATGCTTTACAAAATTTTGTCCTTCTTCCGATAAAGTGTCTGGAATTTCAGGCGTTTCACCCATACCAACTTTGAACATTATTTGGAAGTTCGAATCGAATTGAGCCCACGGTCGCTGAAATTGAAATTATCAAATTAATTAATGTGTTGATAAACAATGCGAGTATTTGTATGTTTTTAAGTTCTTATTCTTTTGAATGCAAGTGTTAAATGCAAAGGCATACCTTTCCAGATGCCATTTCAATGACAACACAGCCAACCGACCAAATATCAGCAGCCCGACCATGGCCATCAGTGTGATTTCGTGTAAACACCTCTGGCGCCATATACGCCTGTGTGCCGACATATGCTTGCAATTCACCCGGTATTGTTGTATGCGCTTGAATTTTTACCGCAGATCCGAAATCGCCTAACTTCAAGCAATTGCCCGCCTTTGTGAGGAATATATTGGCTGGTTTTATGTCGCGATGCACCACTCCATGTTTGTGTAGCTCAGCAACAGCATCCAATAGCTGGCCTGTATATCGTCGAGTCAATCCTTCATGCAATCCATTTGACATTTCCACTATACTTTCCAATGTTCCCTCTGAACACAATTCCATGAAAATAAGTAGCTCCTCCTGTTGATTGCAATACGTGACACTTCATTAGCATTCGACGAATCGATACATTGCTTGAAGGAATAGAAGATTTTTTTTTTACTCACCCGATGTATTTCAACACCATAGACTTTGACTAAATTTTTGTGACTGATTCCTTCGAATATTTTCAATTCTTCGGCAACGTTTCGAATGGCCTTCGTTTCGCCTGGTTGTATGGCAATCTCTTTCATTGCCATCAATTCACCCGTTGAATTATTCACCGCTGTGTACACTTTGCCGAATCGCCCTTGTCCAATCTGTAAATACGCAAACGAATATCATGAGCAAAAATAGCGTGATTTAAATCACAAGCTCCACTCTCAATCTTACTTTAATTCCTCGATGCCATCTAAAGTTGACGCTTCGAAGTTTAATTTGCACTTTATCCGAACTAAGCACCGTTTTGACTTGGCCAATCAATTTTTTATCGCGCATTTTTCGATCAAGTTCCAGGTCCAAATGATTAACCGCGTCTCGAACGCGCACTTGCCGCAAAGCTGGTCCAAAATTGTTCATTTTTGGCACTCTCAACAAGGTGCTGCTACCCAAAGCTACATTATCAGGTTGGTCACATGACGTTTGTTTTCGCACCAGTTCCGGTGTGTTCGGAGCACTAATCGGCGATGAGACCTCTTCACGCACCTCACGCACGCTCATCGAATTCAAGAATTGTCGTTGTTCGTTCGTAATACGCGGTGAAAGATTTCGACGGCTTGGCGCTCGACTTGTAGTACTGGGTGAAATTTTTCGTGCTCGTGGACTCATCCGTTTACGACCTTTCTCCGCGGTTTCGGTGCCAATTCCGACAACGTGTGAAATGCACGCGTCCATTTTTGTTTTCAAATCATCGAATTCTTCGTCAGACAAATGCCGTGTATTTGACGGATCACAAGCCGCAATTAAAAATTCTAAACCTAATGATGCCCATCGTGGTCGCACACCTCGTCCGCGTTCACATCGCTCCGTTACGAATTTCATCCACATTTTTGCAAAATTGATGATTCCCAGCGACAAATTGAATTCACATGATTTATCTTTGCAGCTCACAATTTTCGTTTCAAACAATCGAACGATATCTTTGTGATATTCAAAACCGAATTTATAACCTTGATGTAAAATTTCACGGGCACGTGATAAAATCGCCAGTTTATCGACCTCATCCATGTTACCAAGATATTTGACGTCACACCGCTCTTGCACACGTTCAATAATTTTCGTTAGTTTGTGTCGCACGGACAGTACGTCTTTTTGCAGCCGTGTCACGGCATCTTTTACCATTTGACACACAAAATCTTTGCCGTCGCAATCATGATCACGATGAAAATCGGGCGTTTCAATGTCACGACAAAGAGACTTTGCGAAGCTCATTAATCTCATCGTTTTTTCCCGTTCGAGCGTAAAAAGTGCTTGGATATTCCGACACACGGTTAGAATTTGCCATTTCTTTTCATCTTCATCTAAATCGGATTTGCCATTCATTTGATTGTCGAGATCTTGTGAACGGTCGATTAAACGTGTGCCCGTTATTTGCAGCAAATCGCTAACAATTTGACAGAATTTCTTCGCTACGTTTGCATGCTGGCCAGGTATCATGGGGCAAATTAATTTCGAAAACATCCACTCTTTGTCGAGCGCATTTTTGCGATGACCTTCGGGAGCAGCAACCAGCACCCATTGTTCAACATACTCCAAATACACGTCCAAAACATTTTTCACCGTTTGATCATAGTCCTCCAATATTTGCATATGCTGCTCCAGCTCAGCCTCTTTATCATAAAATGCGGTGTGTATGTGTTTATTGTAGCGTTCACGATGCGTCATCGCAAGAATCAGACCTTCGCGCAATTCTTTCATCAGTTGCTCGAGACTCAGCGGGTTCGGTGTAACAGGCTTCGATTCAAGACGCATGCGTAGGTATTCGTGCATCACCTCTAACGGCATGATTGAAAGAAACACAAAAGCCGGCACATATGATGGTAAATTCAGCGATGCTGCCTCTTCACTCCAAATGCCATAGCGATGCAGTTCATCTTCGTGTTCTTTGCTCAGAGGTATTTCGGTCGTTGCAGGCTGGAGTTCGTCATTGAATCCGTCGAAATCAAGATCGGACTCTTCTGCACCAGGCACTTCCAATGTGGCATGAGCCTTACGAAGAACAACATTGTGAAGTCGGTGCAAGAATGACAAGCTCTGACCCAATCCACGCGACTTTAAAACGTGTTCAATATATTTTCGGTAAGGCGATAGCGGCATATTATTGTAACTCGGGCTATGGCTAACATTGCACAAATCCACATGCTTGAATATATCTTGATAATCGTGTACACTCAAATCAGAATGATTTTCAATCGCATCCAATGAGCAATTTTGCGCCTCACGCATCGAACTGAGTAAGAGTAAAGAATACAAAAAAACAATGATAAAAACGTTGATTGGGGAAATGAATGAATAACATACTCAATGCTATCAGCGGGGCTAACACTGTCTGACGGGCTAGCACTTGAATCACCATCGCACGTGAATTTTACTTTGGGTATTTTAGTTTGTGGGATTTTCCTTGAGTCTATTGAATCACGGCCAGAGTCTTCATTCTCTTGGATCGATGACGATGCAGAACTATCGGTTTTATTCTCGGACAGTGGCCATTGAAATGCTTTTCCCTGTAATCTGCAATTCAGAAGAAGGGAGACCATTAACCACATGAATTCATTCAAAATATAAGTTGATAGTCAAACTAACCTGGCAAATATTTTGCCCACTATCAGTAATTTCAATCGATGGTGTCGCGTGATATTGTACCACAAACACATCGCTTTCACACGGCCAACGAATTTTGGCGATTTGTACACGGGATGAAAATTGGCTAAAACTTGTGACGATGGGTAAAGGGCTTCAGCTGCTTCTAAGCGAGTTAACAGTTCTTCCACTTCGCGCAAAGCTATCGTTTGCTGCTCTTGACAATCCTTACAATACATCGAATAACACTGCGCACATCCTTTTAGTTCGAATAAAAGTAAGAAATTTTCATGGGAAAATGTAAACCATAAATTTAAAAAGAAAAAAATGCCAGCATTTAGCATAAAATGCATACTTTGTTTGGGCTGTGACTCAGATGTTGTACAACTACTTTCGGGTGTTGAAGGCATACATGGTGAATTCACCGATACTCCACTGTCTGTACTCGAAACGCTCATTTCGCGTTCAAAGTGCCGCACGAATCTAGAAAATAAGGAAACAAAAATTATTACATTTCAAATGAGAAATCAGACAAGATTCTCTCAATCAAAAGTCCAATAGCTTCGAATCAATGAATGCAAACAAATTGCTTGAAGCAACTAAACATATGCCGTGACTTGCCTAAAATTTAAAATCTTATTGAGAAGATCAGGTATGCCTTGTCGAGCTGAATACAAATATTTGTCCTGTTGTTCGAGTGTGCGACTAGCGTGTCGTGCTTGCAACTCAAGCCAGATCATATCTTTGAGCTCGGTTTGCCATAAATAATCTTCGCTCGATATTTTTGCGTCCTGTTTGTCACTGCTGCCAAGTTTTATGAGATTTGCAAATGTTTCGTGGAATTCTTGACGCGTTTGTAGCATTGATTTTTCACTCAAGCTCACATTATTCACTAGTTTATTTGGTTGAATTCCAGAGGCAACGTTGGAATTTGGTCCACACTCCTTCTGTGGCTTAAGTGATAGAAATGCTTGAGCTGGTGCTGATGCTCGGCATCCGATTGGTCTTGATGTGACGCTCATAAACCGATTACCCGTTTCGATCACCTTTGGTACAACCGATAAATTGGTCGATGCAACTGAACGATGTCCACCGATCGGCGGAAAACTATCACGATCATCATACGGTGTAGATGCTGTGCTCGTGTTTATCACATTTTTCGCGTAATTTGCATTCGGCGTTTTGCTAGGCGATGGATTCAACGGTGTTGGTGAACCCGATATTGGATAAATGACATTCGTTGACAATTTCATATCGCGTTCGGATTCGCGCAACAGTTGCATCGAACGTTTATCACATTTTTTGGTGTCGTCGTCGATGAAAATTTCATTTAAAATTGCACAGTCCAATGTGTTTCGTCGGTTCACCTTTCGCGACATTCTGTTTATGCCCCGTATCGCTTTTGTAGCTGCCTCTCTGAAATTACACAACAAAATGATTGGAAATACTTCAGTTTGTACCAGTTTTCGATTTGTAATTTTTTCTACTTTGCGTCACCAATAAATTTTGTTGCTCTTACAATTTTTGTTGTTTGCGATCCCAATCGCGAGTTTTGATCCGTGCTCGTTGTCGTGGCGGGGTGCTGCCGTACTCGTCCATATCGAATCTGTTGATAAGTTCTTCTGTCGTCATTTCGCGTCTGTAACCGTTCGAACCAATATCAAGTGATGCCGTCTTCTCAACCATTGTGACGCTCTTTTTCCGCAATTCAACGCTGTGATAAAGAAACAGAAAAAATAAAATGAAAATAAGGAACGACAAATTCCAACAATCATTCAGATTCCGTGAGCATATTCGGTTGCTTACGATATTTGAATATTTGGGCATGTAGTTTGACGTAGTTTTGATATGAAAATAGTGTGCTTAAAAATTTAAACGTAATTTCCTTCTTCGATTTCGAACTGAAAGAGCTGATAATTTGGTGAACTGTACTAGTTGAATGACGGTTTGAGCATTGCTCATACGATGAATATTATGTGTGGATACGTATATGCGATAGGATTCGATCCAATCGTCCATAAAATGGATAAAAATACTGACGATGACTGTTTTAATTCTACGAATAATATTATATCGTCGATCAGGAAATGAGATGAATCATACCACAAATACACAAGCACACTGCACTAGAATCGATGCAGTCTGGCGTCAGTTTGTTTTGCAGGCCAGAACGAAAAGAAGAACCAGAGGAGGAAAATTCAAATTCGGTGGTATCTTTCATGTGGGCGAACCGTTTGGAACTGATGTATAAAACAAGTGATGCAATATTTATCGATGCCGAAATTAATTCTTCTAATCAAAAATGGTGAAACATGTACAATGTGTCGCCGCTATAGATATAGATGTTCGAGAGATACGATATTCGATGTTGGCTCGTGGTATTAATTCAAACATTTCCATCATTGTTCAAATTCGTGTCAACGAATCCACATACATTGACTATATTTATCTGTCACCAGCCGCTATCTATTATATATACAGGGGGGAAAAAAATTATTCATATGAATCGTTAATATTCACAATTTTATCATGTCTCATTTTCTGTTCTGCTTTCATTTCGGAATGTCACCGTGTAACCGACGATATGTGCTGCGTGCAATGGTACACGGGCGGCGAAAAAGAGAGAAAGAGAGCGCGAAAAAAGAAAAATAAACAACAGGGAAAAAAAATAGCGGAACAATATATAATAGAACGCATCTTGTACGTGCAGTTTCTCATATCTGTCGTTGTGGTATTTATTTTAGCTGGCGTCAATTACGTGTTCGTTCTTACATCGGCACATACCACATACTCTAGCGGGTCATATCTTTCAATTAACTTACATCAGCCAACATTCGTTCGGTAATTAATAAACGCAATTTATGACACATGAGTACGAAAAAAAAGTGCTGAGTACAGGACTTTTATTTGCTAAACAGCTTTTCTTCTTCTTTTTCGCTGGTCTCATGATTTTTGCCTGTCTTCGTATTTCAATTTTATTCTGTTATTTTGTTTGCACAGGCCATTGTGACGCATAATTTGGTTCATTGCCAACGACGATGAGTTCTGACACGGCAAATGCATAAATGGTGCACAATCAACTCGAAGTGGACTGGTTTTTGGGGAAAAATCACCGGATTTAATGACCCTAACAAACCGATTGAAATAGATAGCGAAAAAGACAACGACAATGACAAAAAAACGGTAGCCGCAATTGCGGAGTAATGTCACAGCAGCAACCATTTTTCTATGGTTTCTTCACTAAATATATTTTACGTATTTCTATCGAAATTTTTAAGCACATCAAATAAAGTGATAGATTGAGAATAATTACGGCTCATCCTCCTCCTCCTCCGAACTATTTGTTTCATATTCGTCTCGCTTTTTCCTCCAAACTCCATCGGCCATTTTTGATTAATTCTTTAAGTCTGTATTTTTTTTTACACTTGAATTAAATTGATATCATTCCAAATTTTTCACACTTAAAACACACTGAATTTTTCACCAATTTCCTTAACAATACTAACATAAAGGCACTTATCACTTGAAATCTTTTCGGACGTTTTTTTTTAAAAACGATGATCAAAACAAAATAAGCAACATTTGAAAAAAAAACTATGTACTCTTTTTTTTTATCATGAACAGCAAATACTTCAGCTATAGAACTGAAGAACTTCGGGTTCTCAGTGCATTTGATGTGTGTATATATATTTCATTTCATTGACTTTGACAGTTCAGCTGTGTGTTCGTGTGACAGGGCTGCTCCGTTAAGTACATACCTTATATGGCGCCGTTGATATTCAATGTTGGTTTAAACAATTTTAAATACATTCCCTTCGAACACGGTGCAATCCGTTTTTTTAACGCTTGCTCACACATGAACTGACGCTGGGTTTTGATGTATTGAGAATAATTTTGCATTTATTATTCAAATTTAGGCAAATTTTAAATGGTTTGATTCAATGATTATGGCATGGAAACGGTACTTAAACTTGATATTCGCAATAGATACATTGTTTTCATCATGCTATTGTATATGCAATGTACGCTTTTCACGGGACTATTTTCTATGCGAGTATATATTTCTAATGAGATTTTTCTAAGAAACAAGAAAAAACGCCTCAACTTGAAGCTGGAAGGTTTGTCAAATTGGTCGAGTTTTGCTTTATACATACACAGGGAAGAATGGTTCAGATTATTGATACAATGAATTTTTTTTTCGTAGAAAAAATACCAAAATTAAGATGTCTTAAACAAAATTTATTTTCTTCCATACAAATTTTGTCTGAAAAAATAAATTTTGTCTTAGATATCTTAATTTTGTTTTTTTTTCTACGAAAACCAAAATCCATTGTACCAAAAATCTGAACCATTCTTCACTGTATGCAAAAATCAGATTGTCCACATTTTTTCATTGCCATTTTTCTAACCATACTTTTGTTTCATTTTTTATCTTGTTTTATTTCTCAACAATTTGATATCTGATCTGACTGAATCACAATTGAACATTGGAAATTCTCTTAGCCATTTAATGACTCACAACACAATTTTAATCAAAAATTTATGAACAAAAAGTGTCGAAAGACCCCACTATGACTGATCATTATATCAAAAAGATGGAATTTTTTTCTATTTTTTTTCGTTACTAATTCTACGTAGTATTTATTTTAGTTCTGATAAGGTCGTTATTCGCCAATTTTATTCTAGTTAAATCGAAATTGAGTTTCTGAGAAATAATTCTTGAGATATCAAAATACGATAAAGATTCAAATGCTCACACACTTGATCTACAAAATTGATTGTTTCAATTGCACGTTGGACCATTCATAGTAGGAATGCGTATGATAAATGCCAGTACGATTGCCGTTGTTATTTTTTGTTTATCAAATATAGACATATAGAGCGAGATCGACAAAATGTTTCCGAAATTGTATAAAATTCGTTTATATTGCCGGGTGACAAATGAGTGTGGCATGGAACATTTGCGGTGTAAATATATCCTTACGGATGATTCTTTTTTGTTTCGATGGGCGGAGTCAGCATTATTTTACTATAAAGTTTGTTTGTTTTTTTCTCTCTTCAATGGGAAAAAAATGAAATAGTAATTCAACGAAGGACCAATTGAAAATTAGCTGGGCTCGATATGTTAGTTGAAAGTCAAAATTACAGAGTGGTTATTCGAAATGATGTTTATTTATTATTCAACAACTTTTTACATGTTTCCACTTATGTGGCGTGTATTCGCTCGAAAGCCACATTATTACTCACGTACAAAGTGGTGAAGAAGCCTTCTGAAGCATCCTGTGCGCACTATTGTTCATCCATCACCAATCAAAATATTGTATTTTCATTGGTGTACTTACATTGAGTTGTTAACTACATTGGCACGATGCACGTTATACATTGCCGAATAGGCACGGACGACGAAAGAGAACGCTTAAAAAAGTGGCAAGGATAGAGATGCTTGAGTCTTTATTGAGTTTTCGTTTTGTACGGCGGTATTCTATTGTGTTGTATACATAATTGAATCATAATATACTGGAAAAAGATAGCTGCACAAATTAGCTGGATGAAACTCAGTTAGCGCATTAACAATGCGCTTAATCCTTGTTAAATGCTTTTAATTTGTTGTTCATTGTGATCGCTTGCGTGATATGGGAGCTACAGTGAATGAGACAGCATGGAAAGGAAGAGAGATAGCACGCAGAGAGCAACCCCCGTACGGTCGGAATCGTCCATGTGTTTACAATTGAAAAACGATTTTGCGGTTTGTGGTCAGTTCGTTATGAACGTTTATGGCAACAAGTCGCTTCAATAACATTGGTGTAAGGATAAACACATTTTGAATAAATTGTGCGATGAACGAAGAAAGTGTGTGATTTCATTGATTTGGAAAGCAACAAGAAACAATAACAGGCGAATTTTTGACAATTTTCCTTGTGTTTTGTGGAAAAAAAGTGACAAGTGAAAAATGCAATCGACTAAAGGTTTAGTGGGTGCAACTAAGAATAATGATACGAATGTGTCGATTGTGGCTGCTCGGCCATCGTCACCGCGTCAGTTTTTCGAACGACTTTATGGTCATTTAGAAAGTGCCGACACAAATACAAAAACCGTTTGCTCACCTGGCCAAAGTGAGCTCAGCTCATCACCAGATATTCTAGATGATCGGTAAATAATTGCTTTTTTCTTCAGTATTTCAGTAATTTCGCTTTGGTTAATTGATTGATTTACACGATGAATCAATTGATTTGATCAACTTGTGAATTGATTAACATACAAATGGACCTTTTTCAATATGTTTTCCTTAGAATCTTTTTTTATTTATTATTCTGTTCATTGAACAAATCAAATATTCTCATCAACTAATTTTTACCAATAAAAAATTGCAGAAAGAGTGCATTCAGTCTAACGGCTGATCATGTGATGAATATGGGTTATCAGTCGTCCTATCAAAATTTATCGTGTATGTCATCCGGTTTTGGTGGATTTAGATTACCGCAAGAGTCACCGTTATCTGCTGGTCTCACGGCATTTCGTAAGTTGAAAATTGCAATTATTGACATGTTTAAACATTTTAAGCTAAATTCCATGATTACTTGTTCTCACGAACACATCCACAACAAACGAATGAATAAAATCGAGATGGAATTGTTAATCCGATTTAAAAGAAGAAGAAAAAGAAACGTTTTTCCAAAGTGTTTTCTGTATGCTGCTTCGAAGAATCGACATTTCGATAGCAAATCGTTCGATATTTTCCGAGCTAGCCGAAGAACAAGTTACCTTTTGTAGCAGAAAATATTGAGATTGAGAAAATGTGCGGAAAAAAAGTGTCATCCATCGTATATGTGTATATACGTTCAAAAGCATACATCCGGTGAAAATATTGTAAACAACAATGAACATGAATAGAAAATACAGCTGTGATTTTTCCGACTCCCATATTTCACAATTCAAAAAGCATAAGTTTCGTTTTCTCTCTCTCTCTCTCTCTCACTCGCTCTGTCTCTTGCTCACCACCCCCTCGATCGGTGCTGATGGTTTTATAAAATTGCACCAGCCAATTCAGAATCAGCATAAGCTTTTTAGTGTGTCGTATGTAGTGTCAAATAAAAAATAAATAACACAAACCAAAACCCAAACAGCAAATAATTCTCTTCAGCATAGCATCCAATAACAATAACAATAATGATGTTTGATGATAATGTTGATTCGAAACCACACAATACACAATCGGTATAGCGCGCTGTGTCTCGGTGAGCGTGTGTTTCGCTAGAGAAATTGCGAAGAAATGACAGGAAAAAAAATATAAATGAAAATCAACGAGAAACTTTTCCACAGGCTTATTTTTTATTTTAATCCTCTTCTCTCGTTCTCACTCTCTCTCTTTCTCCCCCCCCCCCTCTCTCTCTCTCTCCCTCTCTCTCTGGGTTGTATCAATATCAGTTGTATTTGTTAGTCGTTGGAGTATTATTTTAATTCTCCTATTGAATTTGGCCAGTCGCCACAATTTGGGACTAGATTTTTCCATCGCAGCAACTTTGTCGCTATGATTTTCGCCCTCACTCTCTCACTCTCGATTGCAACTATTCTACTCACATTTCTAACCATTTGCGATCGCTTATTTGATGGAATTAATCATTTAAATTGACATCATCCGTATGAAATGATATAAATATGTCATGAGCGATGGTGATGATGATCATGATAATGATACAATGGAAATGTGATGCAATTGTAACTGAACCACCTGACAAAAATCGCTCCTCACACGCGCGGCACACTCACACATGGAGAGAAAGAGAGAGAGAGAGAGAGAGAGAGAGAGAGAGAGAGAGAGCGAGAGAGATGGCGTATGTGTTGTCCCAAAATACGCTTATGCACAGAATAATGAATGTCTCGACGTCAGCTTAAATCTCAACAACATTTACACACCGTTTTCTCTCTCTCTCTCCTCTCAATCGGTGAATGTGCTGTTAAATTCATATTGCTGCTAACAATTGGATGATATTATAACGCATCGTTTGACTTTCGTATTGAAATCTTTTGTTTGTTGCCGATGTGAAAACCGACGATTTTATGCTGCGTTCTACGTTGCATTCGCCGCTTTCAATTCTGCAAGAAAGTTTCACACTCAATTTTCTTCTCCTTTTTTCGATTGTTGTTGTTTCACTTTGTTTTTTTTTTATTAATGTTTATTTCAACAATTATCCCGAATCCAAACAATGATATTTAATGAGATTTAAAATAAATACTTTTCGCGGAGCAAACCAAAAAAAAATTGTTCAAATAACGCCTATGTCTCTATTTAAACTACTAAAGAAATATGGTAACTCATTTGGTTCTACTTATTTCCTAGTTGATTGTTCATTCAATTGTTTTGTCTCTTTCAATTTATGCAGTCGAAGTTCCATTTCGAGAAAGGATCTCATGTTTGTGTCTTGCACTTCGTTCATGATTATTTCCCGTACAGCATCTGATCCACCTTGTAATTTTGACGATACTTTTTCAGCATATTGTATCCAAACGCAATTCGCACACCCGCTCATACAGCAATTGGTCGGTGGCGGCGGAATCTTTACAAAAAAACACAAAAATGTAATATTTTTCCATTTCAATCCATTTCATTAACTGAAAATCCAATATTTACCTTTTCATCTGCGGCATTCGTTGATTGTCCGGTTGTCGTTTTTCCATCGCTTGTACCACTGTTCGACGGGCGATCGTGAGAAAATCGAATCGGCGTGCAAATTGATCTGTTGCTAATTGCATCCTTTAGCAGTCCATTTGAATACATTTTTTCTGTACACACAGGCGAAAAAAAGCGAAATAATGAGAAAAAAACGTTGAGAATTAAGCTGCACTTTAATCCGTAACAAAAATCATAATAATGAAACAATAAAAATCCGTTCGCAATATGTTTCCTGTATCCTACTGAGCTCAATTGTATATAAAAAAGATCCCGAAAATTCGAAGCGAAAAAGGAAAACGAAAACACAATGTTCTCTTGAGGCGAAAATCAATGCAATTGCAGTGTAAGATTGATTAACTAACAACGGAAAGGCTTCCTTTGCTCCTCCGTTTCGTTTGTGTATATCGATTCAATATAATGCAAATTAAATACAATATTAATTTACATGGACGAGACTGTATCAAAAATGTATCAATTACACGTTACGCTTTACACACTTTGCTCGCTTCAATGTCCGGCGCTTTTCCTACTCTACACCGCATTTAAATCATAAAACCACATGACCATTAACATATTAATTTCCAAAATGTTTGCGATTTTTCAAGTTGACTAAGCACACACATTGAACCGATGAACGAACGAGCGAATGAAGAAGGGAAGCGCGTCTCATCGATATTCATACTTGATTGTAAGGAGAATAAGGAAGACGACGCAATGCACTTGAATCAGTTAACGGGGCATTAATCACCGAATCACACACACACACACACACACACAGACACACATAAAATGTGTATGCTAAGAAAAAGCGACCATTTCGCAAAGGAGCGTTCGAAAAAAAAAGATTGAAATTTAATGCGACAATTTTTCGGTATATCATGTGAACCCAATGTGTTTGCATTCAAGACTTACAAGGTTCACAAATCAAAGTAATCGAAAGTCTGGAATAAACGGGAAGGAAATGCGTTCGATTGAAGTGATTTGTGGTGATCAAATTGGCAGAGGTGTTGAGATAAAGAGCTTCCCAAATTGATGTAATTAATTTTTCGATATCAGTGTTGATGAACAGTTTCGCTTGACTTTTCGTCGTGCCGAATAAGAGAGTAGAAGGTGTATCACTTGAAAAAAAAACAACAACATAAGATTGTACATGAATCAGACATGACGTCAATCACCATAGTGACGCAGCTGATTCGAGATAAAAACCATTTCTCTTTGACATGTTTCTTTGGCTAGCAATCTCCCTCCTTTGGCAAAGTACATTTCAATTCAAATTAAATTCGCGATCGAATTGATAATTCGCTACACATACTTTGTAGAACCTTCTGGAAGCGCCGTAAAAGAGTGATGTGAACAACGATAGTCGCTAGGCGCCTTGTGAATAGGAGACACATCTTTCGCGGAAATTCTCAGCTTATATAAATCAAATCGTTTGATTGCAATCCATTACAAATGCAATTCATATTACGCTCATCTTTCATGATTGTGATCCATTGAAATGTAAATGTTGCACTGGTACAATGTTGCAATTCTTCCACAGATGATTAAATAAACCGATTCTACATTTTGAATTTGCGCATATTGATGAATGAAGTTGCATTATGAATGCATTTACAAAGATTTGTGTCCCTGGTGATGATTTTACCTGGCAATTTTGTAAGGAAGCTACAAAAAATCCGCAGAATTGTACATAAAAGAAATTCAATTGAATTCGTTCGTGCTTTTCTTTTCCATTGAGATTAATTTTGGGAGGTTTCAATCGATCGATCGAACATATTGATATGCAAATTGATTAATTTTGCACTTATTTTACACTCGAATCGTTGTATTGTATGCGGCGTTGACAGATGAAGTAAAATTTGACAAATGAAGCCCACATATTCATACACACCTTGGACGGTTCATCATTTGAATGTCATTAAATAATCTCAAATAAATATTTTTAATTTATTTATCCCTATTTATGCGGTGCCTTACGATTCAAAATGGCTTAATCATTTCCCAAAATTCCAATTCGTTGATGAGCTCATCACACGCATTCGACATATTCAGAGCGTATACATCACCATTGTACAGTTCAATAAGAGTGAGAGCATATTGTCGTTGCTATCCTTTTCACTCACCCCAATCCATCGACCGACCGACCGACACAACGACCGTCCGAACAAAGACATCAACGTAGTGCAGATCAAACGTGCAGAGGCAAACAAAAACAAAATTAAATCTAATCGTTGAACAATTATAACATGATATATTATTAAATTTTCAAGATAAATTACCGGATAGGGTGATTTTCAGTTCTTTTCTATCTCTTTCTCTCTTTCTCTATCTGTGGTGTGCGTAAATTCATCTGCTGCAAAGGGCGCGCTGTGCGTTTAGTGCGTGTTTTTTTGTTGTCATTGTTAGGCGTCGTATCAATTGAATTTTCATTTGAATGTGTGTGTGTGTGTGTGTGTGTGTGTGCATACGTATTGTGGCCGCATCACAAAACAAGATCATCGTATAATAAAATTGAAATAAAAACCACATTAAGTGATTTGTAACGAAGGTAATCCAGAAAGAGTGAATAATTGCTCTCTCTCTTTATCGTCAACTCGAGAGGCAGCATAAACATGCGAATTGCGTCGAGTCAGTTGGACTGAAAATCACAATATAAATTGAAATAATCCCTGCATTTTCAATTGGGTTCGACATTCAAATGATATTTTCGGTATGCTCATTGCTCATTCCCCTTTTCATGTTCAACTCAAGTGGTTTTTTCTTATTATTAAATCGTCATAATTAAAATACAAATACAATATACAAACACACCACTTATGCTCGAAAATCGGAGGCTTTTTATGTTGAAACTATTCGTTTAACTGTACGAACAGCAAAATATTTTCAAAATAAATGCAAGAAAAAAGAAGAGTCATTTGAATTTGTAGAAAAATCAAGTTCGTATTGAAACTATGAAATTGAAGATGTTTTTTTTTTGTGGTTTATTTGCATAGTAGCTCGACGAAGACGAAAAGAAGGCCGGCCTAGACGGCAACGAACAACATTTAGCAGTGAGCAAACCATTCGCTTGGAAGTGGAGTTTCATCGCAATGAATATATTTCACGAGGACGTCGGTTTGAATTGGCCGAACGGCTACAATTGACCGAAACACAAATTAAAATTTGGTTTCAAAATCGACGCGCCAAAGATAAGCGCATCGAAAAGGCTCAAATTGATCAACAATACAGGTAATAAATGGAATTAAAATGATTTTTTTTTCTTGCGGAATTTTGTGACCGGAAAATTAATTTAATAATATATTTAGGCACTTTGCCGTAGCTAATGGTTTCATGACATCGATGTCATACCCACAAATGGTGCAAGGATTACAATTACAACCAAATGAGCTCGGCACTTTGCACGATCAAACACTCATGAACCCATCAAATCGCTCGACCGCATCATCCCTTTCACAATTTTATCATGAAATCAGTAAACAACCGACGACGGCCACCGTTGACACAAATCCCTCCCATAATCAATTCAATCAAAACGATAACCTATCGGTTCGATCGCTATCAAACCCCATTGAGATTATTTAATTTCGAATCGACTCAGAATTTAGCGTGAACTTTATGTTAAATTATTATCAAAGTAAACATTACGAATTTTGTGGTACGAATTATTAGCTGTTAAGTATATACGCCGTTCATATTAAGTATATTCGAATTTTGAAATTGATTATACCGATCTTGACGTGGAACTAGAGTTTTTATTTCTTCATTATTTTACAAACAACCGAAAAAAGAAGTTGTGTACAAAGAAAAAAATATTAAAACACAGTGAAGGATAGAACACTTACTGAACATTATGGCTGCTTCGCTAGAGGTGGATTTACTCGACTTTAGACTTTGGTGATTCTTATGCACTGACCGCCTCTTTCATATGGGCATTCTATTTCAATTTCACTTTTTTTTAATTTACAGATTGACCTTAGTTTCGTACTTTCATTATAATTCTTTATTCAAACGCCTAGCATAAGTGAAAAAACTGCAATAAAAAATGAGAAAAAATTCATTTCAGTTGCGTCCATTTTACATATTTTCAGGGAAAAAAAAATTGTTCGGGGAGTTAAGTCATATTGAAAACAGTGTGTTTTGAAAGGGTTTCTGCCAAAATGGCACAGTTCTATTCCAGAACCAACAGATCACGCCAATGAACCGTAAATAATGTTTCATAAAATGACATTAAATATGTTCTGCTCCTGTTTAGTGGCATGCTTAAAACGAATTTAACCCAAAAACGGAGAAATTTGACATTTATTTAGTCGCTGAAACAAACAATGTCACAAACTTCTCCGTCACATTGGATAAGATGCATGTTTGTGACCGTTAAAATATCATAACAATGAATGGGAAAGGAGTTATAAAAAAGTTGATTAGAATTGAAATTGTGCAACGTTCCAATTGCCATTTAATGTGAAAATTCATCAAGTAAATGAGCATACAAACAATTATTGACGCAATGGCTTTGAAAGGAGCTGTAATAAATGATTCCTTACCGCTAATACAAATAACAATAACAACCAAAAATCGTACTCAGAAATGAGCAGTTTTTTTTTATGACCATTAGATATGTTGTTTTGATGTTGTTGTTGCTGCTGTTGTTATTGTCGGATGAATTTATGGCATTGGGACCGTTGTAAATTAGGTAGAATAAAAGAAGGTTCGTTTCGGGTGTAATTTTTTTTTTCGTAAAATTCATCATTCGTTATCAAGATTGGAAGAGATAAAAACCACACGATAATATTAGACTATAAACTGCATCGTATAAAAACATAAATAAAAATGAATTGGAATGAGCACGCGAGCACAATTTGGTTGTGTTCGTCTCTCTGTGTGGAAAGGTAAATAAGACGGACGTAGACAATGTTCGTCGATGAATTCATCATTTTCTTCCAATTTTCTTCAACATAAAATAAAATGTGGGGCAGTTTAGTGATGCGCAAACAGCAAAAGCAGTAGCAACAACAACGATAACAAAAAAAATAGTAATTTAAACTGGAGAATACAATGAAATGGGCCAAGGAAACGTTGATTTTGTGTGTTGACCACGAGAGTTACATACTTTTTATTCTTTTTTTTTAATGTGTGTGTATTTATGTTTGTATCATTATGGCCAAATATCGAGTGAAATATGCTCATTATGGATTCTTCTTCAATTGATTCGTTGGTCGGCCTACATTGAATATATCGTTTGCACAAAAGATTGTTTGCTTAGTTTGCACAAAAGATTGTTTGCCTAGTGAATTGAGTCCAAAAAAAAAACAATTAAGACGATGATTGAACGAAATGAAGGTGAAGAAAGAGAAATTGATTTGATGAATTGCTCTGACCAAACTGCGTAGCCCAAATGTCGGGAATCGAACCCGAGCCTTCAATGCCAGAGCCGTGTACACCAGAATGCACACCTAGTGAAGGCGGCTGCTTGGTTTTCATGGATTCTTTTTTTGGTTCAAATAAAACAACATTTTTTAAAGTTTTCAATGATTTTTTTTTATTGAAACTTTTTTTTCTACATTTTTTCTTTTGTTGTGTTTTTTCTTTCATTTGTTTTTTCAAAAAATAAATGGTATTAGTTCAGTTTGTAATTGCCATTAATGGTCACCTTGAATATGGTCTATTTCAAAGGTGGGGTAAGTTGGAAATCGTTAATCTCACAGTTTTTGCAGTGTGTCGAAACCGTTTGTGATGCGGAATTGACGAGTCGAAAAACTGTACACACTCATGAATGGACGTTAATGAGCTTGCGTTTTCAGTTCGTTGATACTCACCAGTAGAACTGTGAAGCAGACCATTTTCCATGGGTAAATCACCTTTCATTCGTCTAGTTTAGCAGAATTATTTATGTCAAATTAGGAATTGAATCAACCCATGAATTGACATAAATGATCAATGCAACGATCGAGTGTTTGAAAAGTGTCTTGCGCCGTGCAAATGGTCATCGCTTCTGCGTTTCACTTGTTGATCGAACGCGTGCCGTTAATTGAATCAGCTTGTGTCACGTTAAGCGTCTCGCGTTAAGCTAAACACAAAGTACTTACCCGCTGCATCATTGATTGAGTTCGGGAGCGGCCGACATAGTTAAATCCACAAATAATACCTCATTCATCCTTTAAAACACAAAGAAAAAAAAAACAAAATATAAATTCAAAGTGATGTTCATATATTGGGAATTTTGCATATGGATTGATTGAATGTTGTAGTTGGGGAAATGCTTAGTAATAAACAAATTATTGTTGCATAAAATTCGAGACGAGATTTGTTTTTTTTCTGGTTGGAATAAAACATGTATCAAAAGTGACTGAAATTGCTCCTGCCTATAATAAATAAAAAATTCTGTCATCTTCTTGTTTGGTATCTCACTTTTAATTCTGATGGAGGGAGCCTAGAAAGAATGCATATCGAGAGAGGAAAAAAAAAATTGAATTGAAACATACGATCTGGTTGAAGGCGGTAGAGCACTGAAAATGGCATTTGTTTGTGTCTAATGCGAATTTGCTCTCTTGATGGGATCTGTACAATGATGATATTTATGGTTCTCGCTACACATGAACAACTGAAATATCACTAAAATGGAAGAGCTGGAGGACTACCACATCACCAAAACAGATTTTTGTTTTTTTTCCCCATTTGAACAATGTTTCACTGTTTGTTTTTATCGCTGATTGCTGCTGTGGTTGCTGTTATCTAAATATAATTTTCCTCTACAGAAATGTGGTTACAAAATGGAGTACCTGATACGTTCATTTTACTTCGTTTATTCTCTCACACATAACCTGCATTTACCTCTCTTGTCTCTTTGACACTGTCTCTGTCTCTCTGTCACTGTTTCTCTCTCTCTCTCACACTCTGCCTCTGCAGCTCTCACTCTCAATCTCTGTACCTCAAAATTCATCAAATTTCAAACGAATATGCGAATCTGTGTGTGTTTGGTCTGGTTAAATAGCACTGAAGATACTCTCTTTCAACTTTGCATTTTCAATGCTTCTGAAAATGAATACAACCTCTTTTTTGTACACTGTCTGAACAAAGAAGATGAATAGAGAGAGAGAGAGAGAGAGAGAGAGAGAGAGAGAGAGAGAGAGAGAAAAAATACACCAAGAAAAAACTACAAAGCCTCAATCGCCTGAGACCGGTTGGAAAGAGGAAAAGAAAACGCCTAAATGTTTTTTTTTCTTTTGTTATGTTTGCACGTAATCTCTCAACTATATTTTCTCAAAATGTTTTTGTTGTGTTTCCTTTTTTTTCTCCGTGAAATTTGGTTACGGTGTGTTTGTTATCATTTTAAAAGGGGGATGTTGTTGTCAAATACAATTCTTAGATTATTAACTAGCTTAAAGTTGGTTTTGTGTGGGATTTTTTTGTTGTTGTTGCCTTACATAACTGATTACACTCAATTGGTTCACAATAATTAAACTTACACGGTTCTTGTCTCTCTGCAATGTTGTTGTTTTTTCATAGTTTTCAGAGGAAATAATACTCAGTTTCGTTTTAATTCAAATATTAATGGAGCTCTCAATGGGATAATTTTTTTTTGTATATTTTTGGCTGATTTTGCTCACTACTATTTATTCACTACCAATCAGCTAGTTTGGCCGTTTTTCTCCTTCCCAAGAACAAAAACACATCGATTCCATTTTGAATATTCCATAAATGTGAGCTACTATTTTCTTGTATCTCTTTAGCTAAATTGTTGATTTAATTTTATTTTTTATTTTTTAAGTTTTTTTTTCTGTTTTAGTAAATAATTTTGCTTATTTCTTATACGAACTGTGTTAATCTTCTCATATTTTTTTTTTTTTGTTAATTTTTGTTTTTCGCTAATTGCAAATTTTCTATCGAAAAATCGAAATGAAAAATATTCCTGCAGATTGTTCAGTGGCAAAAAATGTGTAATTTTGCCACTGAGGGACGCACATTGATTTCTTCAGTTTGACTCGACACTCACACACTGAGCGAGAGGTGTGAAAACATAAATATGGAAAATGAACAACATAGAGAATAAGAGTGAAGGTAAGGAAAATGTAGAAAAAAAAGCGCATTCTCTCTGGCGCTCGGATGGTTGCCAACGCATCGATTGAATGCTGCCAATCGATTTGAAAGCCGCCAACCGAACTTGTGATAGATGCCATATAATATATATGAAAAGCACTTTGCTCTAGTTTCGAGTGATGGAAGTTGTCATTTTTTCTTTCATGTGTATGGTGTGTGTATGTATGTTTCTCTCTGTTTATGTTTCCACGTCAGTATTTCAGCTCAGTTGTTACTATCTTGATTTATTTTGTTTCCATTTTGCCTACTAAAACTACTCACTCTACAACTCCTTGTATCTCTTATATAATTTTTGTTTTGTGTTTGTTCATATAAATTGTGAAATCTTAGTGATTATAGTGATTTTATACATAATTTCATCTTTATTTCCTTATTTTTTGTTTGTTTTCATTTGGTGGCTCCTTGTGTTTCCTTGAATAACTTCTTTAAGATACAAAAAACTGGAGATGTAATGCAATCTAAGAAAAAAATTCGGGCGGCTTTATTCTGTTTCATTTTTTTGTGTGTATGTATGTGTGCTTAACGATTCTTCTTCTCCTTCTCTTTTCTTTCTTCTTTCATTTAGTTAGTTTTTTTTTTGTTTGATAAAGAACTTTTTGTTACCACTTTCTTAGAAATAAATGGCCATAGAGGCGAATTTCCTTAAATATCATTTATTTACTTATGTTTTCTTTTGTTATAAATTGATTTTAGTTGTTGTAAAGAAAAGAAAATAAATTGTTTTGCTTCTTCTTCTTCTTTTTTTTCTGTGCTTTTTTTTCGCTATGCATTTAGAATTAAACTATTAATTGTTTAGTAATGATTTGTTTCCATCAGTTTTCTTCGATTTGGAGGTTTTTGCTTAGATTATTTTCTCTTCTTGTTGGTTCTCTCCTTGCGTGTTACTAATTATTTGATTTTTTTTTTATTTGGATTTTCACATATTTCAAAATGTTATGCAATTAAAATAAATGTAGTGCTTCTTGATGTATAACATCAACTAAATCAGAGATTTGTTTCTTTGTCATTATCTTCTACGAGGAGGGTGTTAATGATCAAATAAAAAGAGAAACTAAACTTTATACAACTAAATTCCTTTTTTTTCATTTCAAAATGAAAAAAAAAAAATTGAAATGTTTCATAGAACAAAATGAATAATAAACAACAGAAATTACACGAAAGTAAAAAAAAAGTTTGTAAAATGAAAAGAGAAAGATCAGAATGATAAAAAGAAGTACACATTGATTTACAGACGTTTGATTTTCTGCAACTAAATTTAGTTTGGTGCTAAAAATAATAACACTCTGCTCTAAAGTGGCACTCACAATCGTATCGTAAGAGAAGGACACATTATTATCTTTGCGGTTTGGTTGTTGTTCGTTTTATACTGACAAAATTGGCTTGTGTGCTGCTAAATCAAAATCTAGATAGATAATGGTTGATTGCGCTTCACTATAAAATGCAATGCGCGCACAAGGGCTTAATGTTAACGTTTTAAATGTAAAGGTTTCGAAAACGAAAGAAAAGAAAGAAAATGATCAACACACAATTGCAAATGGGTTTCAATTCATCTTCTCGTTCATTTTGCTCTGTGAGAAATGTGTGGATGCGGCCTACTAGAGATGTCGAGATACAGAAAAGTAGAGTACGTGTGAAGAGGTGTGATTTGTGTATGAAGTACTATGTCTGTGTATATGACACATACTATATAATCGAGGAAAAACACTAGAAATCGTATTGATTGCATTCAGATGTTTTCTGTGCGTGTGTGTGTATGTTGAAATGACCAATGATATTGAAATAGTGACATTCTAAATACTTGACACACTATTCCTGTGCTCATGTTCTTGCCATCGATCGGATATTGTTGTTGATGTTACTGTGTTCACACAATGTGAAATGTCTGATAGGCTTAGATCTTGCTGCGACATTCTCTCTCACTCAAATTCTGTTCTTTATTGATTGTTTCTTTTTCAAAAAAAAAGTTTGCTTTCACATAAGCCTGTCAATTAAGCTGTTGATGTCTGTTTATTTCTCTGTTTGTCTCAATGTCTGCCTCTGATTTATTTCTTTTCGTTTCATTTCTTTCTGCCTTTCAGCCTCAATCGAAGAACACACAAACAAAAATAGTTTCAGTAGCCTCAGTTCATAACAGTTCAAATAATGATTTTGCTTTTGTTTCTCTTTTTCTTTTATAGTTACGATTTTTAATATTTAGGTTGTAGGTTTTTTCGTTAATGTAAATAAAAAAAAAATTCATAGTTCGAATATGATCTCTTCTTTCTGTTCTCACTTTCTCTCATTTTTCTCTCTCTTTTAAACTGCTACTCTTTTTACTGACTTTCTTCTGTACTCTGTTCTATTCCTGTGTTAATGATTGTACGTACGGAATTTGCTCTGACCTAGATGAATTGACGGAAAAAAAATTTAAATATAGAAAATAATCATTTAGTTTTAAGATAATGGTGATTTGTTTTTTTTTTTTTGATTTGGTTTGGTTTGGTTTGGATTTGAAAAGTCGTCATCGTATTAAAGACAAAATTTACAACAAAATAAAGAAGAAGTTAGAATAAAAAAAAACAAGTGTGTTTTGTGTAGGCATGATATAATTTTTGTTCACAAAATTGAAAGTTTTTTTTTTAATTGAAAAATACTGTAATTTATGATGAAAGAATGCAAACAAAGGCGTAACGAATAAGGAATACACTCAAAAAAGATTCTTTCGGTTTGTTGTAAAAAATACTTCAAGAAGAGTGGTGTGGTATAAGAATAAAACACTAACAATCCTCTACATTTACACAACCAAATGTATTTTGTGTTTTTTTTTGCTTGTTTAGTTCAAAAGTCTACCTAATACCAAAATAACTAACAACAACGAAAAAAAAATAGTACGTGATTCAGAGAACAACTGAGATGTTTTCTTTTTGGTGTTTTTGGGGAGAATTAAGTCATTAGGAAATGAGTATTTTTATTGGGCACACAGAGACACACGCTCACACAAACAAAAATCGGTTTCAGGTTTAATTTGCGAGTTGTAGCTTGGCTGCGTGTTAAAATGAATACGAGTAAATGGATCCATTCAACATAGGTAGGCCAAAGCTTGAACCGTTTTCTCTTACAGTTGTTATTTATAAGCAGCAATAATTGAATCGCACACTTCAAATCATGCTGTACCACGAACTGTTTATATGATAATTTCCGTTTGTTTGCTTGATTGGCCGCAAGCGTCAAATGCATTGAAAAGAAAATGGTATGTCATTACAATAGTTTCTTTTTGAATATGGCAAATCCAAAATGAGGTAAGATTGTAATTTTATTGTAACAGCCATGAATCTTAATCAAAATAAATACAATAATCATCTTATTTTGACCAATGGGTGTAGGCTGTAAATTCGAGCTTGAATGAATGGCCAATCAATTGTTGAATAGAGGGATGCACTGCATATCCAGCAAAAATACTACATTTTCCACACAACTTTTTCTTTTTCTTTCATCACTCAACGATTTATCACATCACACGAGTGGTGGAATTTTCTCGAAACAAGTGTGTGTTTGTGTGTGTGTGTGTGTGAATGTGTTTTCTTATTTCCATGTTCTCATCGAAAAAAGGCAAACAACAAGAGTTACGTTAAAATAAAAGTGTGATACAAGTAGGCTATACCAACCTTTTTAGTACCTTCGATTTCCACCACTAAAGTTTCCTCCGCCCATTGGTCCACTGTTATAGCTTTGATTGTAGCCGCCACCGTTTTGATTTTGATTGTTTCCTGATATCCCAAATAGACACATCCGGTTGGTTTTTTTTTCTTTCCAATGTTTACACAAAACAAGCTATTGCATATATCGTTCTACTGTTTAAGTCAAACACTTACCGAAGCCATAGTTGTTTGGAGGACAGCTATTGTTTCCATATGGGTTGCTTCGTTGGTTATTATAATTTGATCTCATTGGGCCACCGCCGAAGCCTTGCTGATAGTTACATCCAAAGCTGTCATTGTTGCTCCAGCCGCCGCCGCCACCACTTCCACCACTGCTTTGGTTTCCAGGATTACTTTGATAGTTGTGTGATGGATTTGGGTTATAGTTGCTTGGACCGTTCTGATTCCAGCCTTGATGACCGCCTGCACACCAAATGAATGTTAATTTGTTTCAATTGAAATGCATTCAAGCATGGAAAAAATTGGCAATTGCAATTGGGAAAAGTTGCCAGTTATTTATATCATAGTCATTTCAAAAATCAATGGCAAACAAAGCAAACACAATGACAAGGACCCGCACAGCACAAAAAAAGTTCTGAATAATTTCCTTTCATTTGAATATTGCCCATTGAACTCGCATTGTTATCAACGAGAGATAAAAGAATCCATTCAACTGATAATTTTTTTTATTTACCTTGGCTGTTACTGGAATTATTATTCCATGGCGTTGGCTGACTGTTACCACCCCAGTTTCCGTTGTTGTTGCTGTTGAAACCGCCACCATTGTTGTATGCATTGTTTTGCATCCAACTGTCGTTATTATTATTGCGGTTATTATTGCTCCTGTAAAATAGCAAACAGACAGAGAGAGATGAGCAAAAAAAAACGGCGCAAATAATAATAAAAATGCAATCAGTGAGAGTAAATTTGTACAAATGAACCGAATAACAAACTTACCAATTGGTACCGCTGCTGCCGCGTTCACCACGTGGAAAACCACGGTTATTCATGCCCATTCCCATGCCCATATCACGGCCACCACCGCGGTTGTTCATGCGGTCCATTTCATTCTTTGGCAATGCTTTTTTCACATCCAACAACTTGTTTTTGATTGTATGGGATTTTCGCACTGAACATGGAACAAATAGAACGAAATTAAAAATTTGCTCATCTAATAGAACTGGTCGTTATTTTTCATACAACAAAAGTGGTTGAAATTTAGGAAATTTTGTAGCTAAGATTTAGGTATCACTTTGACATTTAAATTGGTCTAGCAACAAGGAGAATCAAAGCTAATTTCGATTGAAAATTAATCTTACAATTCTGAACGCCTGCCTTCATTTATTGAACAAATAAGGCAGGAGCTGGAACTGTGTACGGTTTTTTTCTCGAATAAATGTATGGAAGAAGTTTTTTCCGCAAAAAATCATTGAATTTATTTTCGATAATTGATCCAAAAATAAATACTAATCGAATTGAATGAATAAATTGTATTCTAATACTTACACACAACTTTGTCAACGGGATCGTAGTCATCGTATTCAATGAAGGCGAAACCACGTTTTTTGCCGGTCTCCTTATCCATGACAATATTGACACTTGTAACGGCACCAAAATCGCTGAAATATTCACGTAAATCCTCTTCGCTGTGCTCATCTTTTAAACCGCCGACGAATAATTTTTTCACCGAAGCACCCGCTTCTGGACGATTGATATCTTGACGTGGCACCGCACGTTTTGGTTCAACCACACGTCCGTCAACTTTGTGCGGCCGAGCATCTTGCGCTTTGTCAACCATAAATGAGCGCGAATAGGTTATGAAACCGAAACCACGTGATCGTTTCGTTTTTGGATCTTTCATTACAACCACATCGACCACATTGCCGAACTTCTCGAAATGTGCTTTCAATGATTCGTCCGTTGTACGGTAATCCAAACCACCGATGAACAATTTACGAATGTGCTCGGGTTCGCGTACATACTGTAAATATATAGATCAAATGCATTGAATTAGACAGGGGCTTATTTTTCTTCTTCTTTGATCTCAGTGCCAATTCAAGACACGCACATTTCATTGTTGAATGGAAAGAAAATTGTAGCTAAGATTCGCAAAATCACATCGACATTGTATGGTCTAGCAACATAAATGAGCTCATCAAAGCTATTCTCAAAGAAGAGAATTCATTACTCTTACAGTTCTGAACGCCTGCCTTCATTTATTATGTAAATAAGGCAGGAGCTGGAACTGTGAAAATTGCGAATTTATCGAAAATTCGCGGGAAAAAAAACAAATTACTAACATTTCAACTCGGTCGATTTATTTTTAGACATATAATTTCGTTCAATTGAATTTCGGGCTCGGAACGGATGGATTTTAAAATTAGATTTGGAAGCGAGAAAAAAAAGTTTGGTTAAGTGACGGACATGTGCGGTAAATACTCAAAAAAAAAACCGGGTCAAATTGTGGATATTTCGGAAATCCCAGAAAAATTCAATTTAACGGGAGCAATCGGTGTTGAAAATGGCGTATGCGAATGTTAGATTCGTCATATAGATACGTGTCCCTTTACATCGGCATAACTTGAGCGCGCCTAAACAACGTGCGTTATAAAGAACCGTATATCATTACTGTATGAATCGTGTTCATAATTTTTGCACATGGTTTTTTATTCAAATGATATTGATTTATTTTAACATGAGAAACGAATTGACCAAATGATAAAATGCAAATGCAGAAATAAAAGAAAAAGAAAACGGTAATTGAGTGTTCACCTTTATCGATCGGCATCACTGTCAGTTTTTTTTTTTCACTAGAGACATAGAAAATTTCATATGAGTCGAGAAAAAAAATAAAATGGCGGCGACGCCTTTGGGGCGATATTATAAAATGTGGTCAAAGGCACTAAATTTTTTTACTTGATTCCTGACGAAAACTCACTCGATTTTTTCGAATTATCAAAAAAAGAAAATCTCAAATTTTTGTAAAAAAAAAATATTTTAACTAACCTCTTCTTCGTTGCCATTTCCATTTCCATTCGAATTGCCATTATTGTAGTTGCCTTCGTCATGCTGTGCTTGTTGTTGTTGCTGTTGCTGCTGCTGCTGTTGCTGCTGCTGTGGTTGAGGCTGTTGTGTTGCCATTTTGCTTTCGGTCAAAGTATTTATTTCAGAGATGAAAAAATAATGCTTTCTCACTTCACCCGCTCAATACACACTCGATATGTATTAACAGTCAAATATAAAATATCTGATGAATGAAGCAACGATGGGTACAGCCAATCGAATCAGCTAATTTTACAACAATAATTGTTTTTGCGGGGCAAATTGTAGTTTTGCTTTTTCTTTGTAATTCAAACCACAAGCAATCAGTTTTGTTCTTCTTTTTTTCTTCAATTTAGCAAACGATAATCTAAATGCTACAACATTCACTTGTGAAACAAACTTGGTTCGATAGACAAACAAATTAAACACAACTTAGTTGGATCGCGTCTTCTGCAAAAGTGGGCTACTTTGCTCACACCAAAAGTTTTAATGTCGAAACGGATATGGAAACAGATAATTGTACTAAAAACCGCACAATGACAATCATGACAGTTGGCATTTTAGTACCGGGCCAGTATTTGACATAATGCTTCGGTTACACTTGCATTGGGTAAAAGCTTTCATCGTATACGAGTTTTTTTTTCTCTTTTGGTAAACGTTGAATAGAAGAAAATTCTCGACTTAATCTGTATTGTTTTCAATTTTATTAATTAAACGTTCATTGACAACAAGGAATTTTCATTTTCATTTTATTTTATTGACTTTTAAAACAATGCAGGAATATGGAAGAAATAAATTTTGTTCTCCTTTGTGACAGCCCAATGTTTTCCTATGAATTTTCGGTCTCTTTGAATCTGAAATGATTGAGGTAACAATTAGCCGAATTCATTGTGAAATTAAAATTTCCATTCGCCGACTCTTTTTTCCATCGGGAATGCTTTTGATTTCAATACTAACTTGCAATTTGTGCATGTGTAGAATACCGTTTGCCCTTCATCGGCACTTCTCAGCTGCAATGTAGCGTAAGACATCTTTTCGTTGCCGCACTTTGGACACAGTCTTTCAACAATTGGACCCTCGTCTTCGTCTTCTTTTTTTGCAATCTTCGCTTTCACGTATGTGTTGAAGTTGATCGTGAAATTGCTCTTCATATCGCCAAACACTGTGAATGGAAGCAAAACAATTTGTTTGAATTAGACACTGATTTCGAGGCGCACAGGTATCACAATCAATACAGAGAGGAGTTTATGTGATTGGAAAACAAACGTACCTTCAGGAGGCCAATCATGCAGACAAGTGTAGCACTTAACATTTCCTGTTGTTCGTAAATACGGCAAAATCGAACCACAATTTGGGCAAAAACCCGGTGTTATTCTTATTGATTCCATTTATGTTAACTCTTTTTCTATCCTAATAATGTGTACACGCTAGTCTCGTTGCTTTGATCACAATAATCAAATCTCAATGTTCCAACAATAGAAAAACATGCGTTTAACATCTAAAACGAAGTCAGACCACATGTCAAATCCGTACTAATCGTTGATGTTGAAGCACATCAACAGATGGCATCACTTGCATTTTCAATGCTATCAATAAATGATATCGATATGATATTAATTAGGTATTGAATTTGATCTTTTTGTATATCTATTACTCAATGACGTATCGGAAAATTAATAACTTTTTTGGACTAAATTTCGAATTTAATTTAAGATAAAATGATACAAAATACACAACACTTTGGTCAGAGTTCAATTGGCAAAATGTGTGTGTTTTTTTCACGATTTTTATTATTCTACCATAAACCGTATCACATTTCAAAATGAAATGAACCTTCAATTACAAAAGAATTGATTAAAAATTGAAAACCAATTGATCAATTTATTAAATATAAAATAACGTGTGAATTTCCCCCATGTTCATTTATTTAAATTTAAAATTCGCATCGAAATGAGTTTTTTGTTTTTTCAGTATGTGATTGTGTTTTTTTTCGAAAACACTTTGCTAATGATGAGTCGATTATTAATGTGTTACTTCCATTGAAAGCGATTATTTTTCGTGCCATCCCCCTAAAAAAAAGTGGTTACATGTATCGGCGCTTAAATGTTTACAAATAACCCAAATCCAATTTATGTGTTCATTTTTTTTTTTCAAACGGTCGATATCAAGCCGTAAGGTAATTTCCATGACTGAAAGGTGTCTTTTTGCCATTTTCACAACTTCCTGAGTGTTGACATTCAAACATTTTTTTTGTGTGCCAATAGCATCATTCTAAAGCAATCAAAATAAAAGCATTGCATGCACTGCAAACAAAGCGTTCAGAGTGCATCGATGTGAAATGTGCGAGCTCAAAAGAAACGAACGCCGTTCAGACAAATGCTTGAAACAAGTGAGCACGCGAGCAAGTACAATTATTTTCATTTCCTCGTAAATTTGTTTTGTTCTCAGTATGATATATTTTTCTGTCTTTCTATATCTCTTTCTCTCTCGCTCTCTCTTTTTCTTCCTCCATTTATTTCGTCAGCTTAGACACAGCCGTTTATAATTGAGCGAAGAAAGGAAACATGGAATTATGTTGGGGGTACATTTTAATATGTACACATTCGAGGAAGAATTTTTTCATCGTATTTTTTTCTTCTTTACGTTAAAAAAATAATGAAGAACGATTTTCAAATCCGATAAAATGCATAGTAATTTCATTTAAAGTCCTGCAATAACAACAAAAAAAGAAGAGAGAAAAACACTATCGAACTACGGAGCAAAAGAACAAATCACTTCACTCTTCGCACGAGCATTCTATTGATTGAATGTATCACGCCTTTGTGCCATTCATGAATTTTTCGCACATTGTTTTTTGCTAAATGGTACAGCTCAGTACACATAAAGCACGCAGGAACAGAGATATGAACACACACACACACACACAAAAAGCCCATTTTTTTTTGTTTTTCTTCAAAATGTCGAATAAACTCCATGTCATTTGTTGTCATATGTTTAATTTCTCATTTTTTCCGCAAATTACAGCAGTACATTTTCAGATTGAATGACAAAACTTCAAAAGCAAAATGGTTTTTGATTATTCTTGAATGTTATTCCAATGTTGCTCTGTGCTGTTTGAGTTGTTTTTTTTTTGTCTTTTCTTTATTTTTGTCATGCATCTCCCTTCGGCGTACATATCGATATTGAATGAATATGCTTCGAATGTGTGACATGTTAAGAGGATTTTTTTCCTCTATTGGAAAATAATTACAAGAATAATCGTGAAATGCATATGTAAAATACATGTATATTTTTTAAAATCCACACTTTTTGCTTCAGTTAATCCCATTTTATAGCCATTTTTGATGTGCACGAGTACATTCAGACACATAAAAACACACACACACACACACACACACACAAAACAACAGCCATGAGGAATGAGGAGCGAATATTTTGAAGAGTGCAGAAAATATTCGGTGTGGCTGGTGTGTATTGTGCAAAACGGTATTGTTTGAACGGGTTTTCTTTGAATTCCGAACAATGCTAACGATTATTTTCGCATTTTGCAGAGCGTTTAATCACGCACACAAATTGGAGATCTGTCGGTCGCCAACAATGCTAAATGAAAAATAAAATACGAACCACCATCACCAACAATAGCCGAGTCGTGGAGTCGCAAAACAAAGCGGCAATGTAACAGCAACATGAGCGTGCCAAACATAAATCATAATTACAAACAAATTTCTTAATGTGCGTTCTTTTTTTCTTCTCGGTGTGTGTGTGTGTGTGTTTGTATTCAGCTTTGGGTCGGTTGGTCTGTCGGTTGCGCTCGCGTTTGTGTTTAATCAAGGCGTTGGATGGGAAAGCGTTCGCGAGATAGTTGAAAATAGCCTGGATTTTTAGTTTATTTCGTCGCGCTCTTTCTCTATTCATGATCATCAATGAGCGTGCTTTTCTGATTAATGGTAATTAAATAGCTGTGATGATAGGTAAATATCGTCAATGGACAAAGCCAAAACTGTGAAGATACAAAATGCGTCGACACTGAAGATTCAGCCGCGCGTGCATGTGAAATTCAATGCCACTTTCGACAAAAATTAGTCGAATCCCATGTTTTGCATACAGACAAACTGTGTCTGTTTAATCAAAGCTGAAGTGACGTTAATGTTTATTTCACTTCGCTCCTCCGCGCGTTTTTGGCCTCTTTTCTTTTTATTGCATTCGATGAAGGCACACACATTTTTCATCTCAAAGCGAATTTACAGACAACGAACACTGCACTGCACACGATGTGTGAATGGTGCTTGATTCGATTACAGAAACTCTCACGCATTTATGGTATTTAATTTTTTTTTGATATGATGATTTTTTTTGTTCATCTTTCGGGCCACATCAAAGGAAAGTAGTATAAATAACTGCGATGAAGATTGAATTATTCCCTCGTTCTACAAATTGTAGTATAATGGGAGAAAAGTGCATGCAACGCATGGAAAATTCGACCGATTGTTGTGATGTGGCATGGAATATCAGACAAAATCAAACACTATTGATGCGAAGAAAGAAAAAAGAGAGCCAGCCAGACAGCCAGCTGTATACAGATGACCGACATCCAGATTGCCATATTCTTTCAAGTGGATCCAAATGTTCGACGCAAAACATCATGTTCACTGCCTGTATTAAACCATAAAAGAAAAAGAAAACACACATATGACGAAAGACAATGTGACGCGTGTTTATTACTCGAGATTATGAAAAATACAGCAAATCCATCATGTGCACACTCGGAGTTCATGATTCATCCCACGTTATAATATGGTTGAATTTCGAATGAGATGCAAAAGATGTGCTTGGATAAAATGGAGACTTCCCCCCTCCCCTCCATTCAAGAAGAAAGAATGAAATAAAATAAGAAACAATGCGCAACAATAAAAGCAGCCACAAAACACAGCCATACCATGGCTATGACACTATTATATTTTTATTGCTGTAATTGTTTATTTAGTGTTTGACGTTAACACCTTCCGAAACTTTATCTGTCGTTTACCATATGAATTATGATAATTTATTTATTCGTTGGATACAGGGAAAAGACCGCAAAGTAGCATATAAATAACATTCGTACAATGTACACATATTACACTGAATATGGTGGGTCCGGTAAGAATAATGCCCTGCCAGTCACTCAGTATCAGAGAGAGAGAGAGAGAGATGGAGGCCTACGACAGGAGCGCGCGAGCGACCGCTCGTTCGCTCCGTTCCAAAACTGACTTTAAGCAAATATTAACACGCACATCGGCAATAGAAATTAAAGCGAGAGATGAAAATTAAATAGGTAAATAGGAATATGCGAACATAAATAGATACCGCTGACAATAGCTAGCAATATAAATATATATTGTGTGTATGTGTATTTGATAGGCGAGAGAATTGGATCGTGCCACGTGAGACCGCTGAACCATGGAAAACGGAACACACTGAAATAGCCAAAACAAGTGTTCCGAATGTTAGATTGTCAAAATAAATGAATTATTATAATTCGTAAGCCATGAATAAGACAAACGACGCAATAGAAACGGAACCGAACGCGACAATCTAGAAGACATAAGATAAAAAGCACGCATTCCATGTCCATTGATTTGAACGGCCGAGCTGTAGGTGAACGACAAACAGAAAAAAAAAATATAGCTCAATCACGAATACAATGAAAACAGAATGAAGATAAAAGTGCGACATCTTGGAACAATTACGAAAGAGAATTACGAAATATTCATGCTCACCGAGACAATATATGTATTAGATGCGATCAATTTTTTTTATGAAATGATTTTGTACGGTCACTTCATTTTTTAAATTCTAATCACAATTATTGATGGCTTCAATCGATGTCCGCATCGATAACAACAATTTGTGGGAGGTTGATTCGTATTCATCAAGAGTTCATTCATCTTTTGATTTTCGGTGAATCCCTCATCTTTGTCTCTGTTTCTGCATTTCATTGCATGGTGATGCAGCGCTTTCGCTTATATGAATATGGCCTAGAAAATTCCAACATCTGAACAACTCATGCACATGTTTAATGAAAACAATGATGTAAATCATTTGAATATTCACTTAATTAAATCATTTATATAATTTTTCTTGTTGTTGTTGTTCGTTAAAACTTTTATTCGCTTGATTTATTTCTTTTAGAATGTGCCTTTTATTCCTACAGAAAACGAAAAAAAAAATAAAAATAAAATGTGCCTAGGAAAAATGTGTCGATGCATTAAATTGTGTGAGCGCATTTTTCTTCGTGCCGGCTCGCGGATACGGCGAAATTGTATTAAACGATATCGGACGCGGGTATATTTAGCAGCTTTTTTTTGTTCACTCTCGCCTCCTTCTCACTCACTCTCTATCTCTCTCCAGATGTCTTTCGATATTTATGATCGAACTTTAAATGGTCGTCGAACAAATGTGAACGCGCACAAATTGTGCAATGCAATAATTCATGTTTTATCAAATTGTCATCATATACATAAATATGTATCATACTTATGCATCTGTTCGTATTGTGCGCTCGAATTTCAGAGTTTTGCGTATAATTTTTCCTGTGTGTGTGAGAGAGAGAGAGAGAGTGTGTGTCTACTTATTTTTCACTTTCTGTACTTTTGTACTATATTTCGGCCGCTAACAGCTTCCGTCGCCGTTTTCCCGCATCGCT